CTAAAGACATTTTTAGATTGAAAGTGAGAGAGTTTGTCACCAGTAGGCTTGCCTTTCAAGAAATACTGAAGAAAGTTCTTTAGGACGAAAAGAAATAATATCAGATGAAAATTCAGGTCTACTAGAAGAAATGAAGAGAACCAGGAGTGGTAACTATGAGAGTAAACATTAAAAAATATGTTTTTTTCCTAATTTCTTTATGACAACTATCTGTTCATATGTTTACAGATATATGTATACATCTATAGACATAGATGTGTATAGAGAGATTCACATACATAGACACATACACACATACATCAGAGATATTGCAGGTTTGGTTCCAGATCACTGCAATGAAGTGAATATCACAACAAAGCAAGTCACACAATTGTCTTTTTGGTTTTTCAGCGCATATAAAAGTTCTGTTTACACTGTGCTGTAGTCTATTAAGTGCACAATAGCATTATGACTAAGAAATGTAAATATCCTAATTAAAATATATTTTATTGCTAAAAGTTACTTACACAGAGACACGAAGTGAGCACATGGTGTTGGAAAAAAATGGTGCCGATGCATTTGATTGACACAGGGTTGACACAGAGCTTCAATTTGTAAAAAAAAAAAAAAAAAATGCTATATCTGCAAAGCACAATAAAGCAAAACGCAGTACAACAATGTATGCCTGTGTGTGTGTGTGTGTATACACATACCCATTGCTTATATATGCATATATGCGTTGCTTATGTTATCATAACATTTGCAGATGTGAAATATGTGAAAATAATAGTACAAAGAAGAGAGTAAAATTATACAGCTATGAAGTTATTAGGCTTAACATCAAGTGGAGCAGTATTAAGACTAAGTGAACTATATTAAGGATGAGTGTTGCAATCCGCAGAGGAAACAAAGATCTTCATTACAAATCCACCAGCAAGTGTCATTCACATGTTTATTCTGACATCATTTTTCACTGCTAGCCACAGTCTAAGTTAGTAAAAGCAATTCTCTGTATGGTACAAAAGTAATTTGGTCAAGATAAGCATCATTTTTTTTAATGATCCGGCATGAAAGGAGGATAAAATTTAATGCATTTTATATTCCTGAGTGTTATTTCTCAGGCCTAAACTTTTGGTGAGATCTAACATCTAATAAATCCTCAAATTGGTATGCCTTGTGGTGCTAGCCGTAGCCTTCCCCCGGGAAAGCCTGTGTCACAAATGCAGAATTTTCTTCTTGTTTTATTTACCTTTGCCTTTGAAAGCTTGGATCAGTGTTTTGCACACCATGTGTATTTTTATATCAAAGCCACAAAATCCCAAAGAGAATTTTTAAAATATAAAATATTTAATGGCATATACTGATCATTAGAATGGCTACTTACAATGTTTAATGAATTATACTGAATAATCGAGATTCTATTCTGTGGCAGAAAACATACTTCCAGAGGAATATAGTACATCTTCCTATACTGTTTGTAGTTGGATCCGATCCACAAATCTTTCAGAGAGCTCTGCTCTACAAATTGTCGTCCTCAAATGCAATAACCTGAATTGTTGACATACCTACACGTTGACTAATATCATATTCTTACACTACACATATAATTCATTGTTTTACACACAATGGCAGGTGATAATGTGATACTTTTAAGACACTCAAAAAGACTAATATGATAGCGCTTATTTGTTAAAAATGCTCTGGCTCCGTGCACTCAATTCTAACAGAAACAAGAACGTGGAATGTGTGATAATCTTACAGGTTTTACTCTTGGCAGAGATTGCCTTCTGTTGGACATTTTGCCCTTTAAGCATTCTATTTCTGGATCAGATTTTGATTAGGAATTAAAAATATTGAGCCTTGAGTCAAAATAAAAGGAATAGAATTATTTTAAAAAGAGACTACAGTCTCATTATCTCCATTTAAAAAAGAAAGCATAGTTTAAGAGGAATCCTTGAACTTTGAGACCATATCCCTGGTTATAAATGGTTTAGCTCATTATTTTAAGTGGGCACAATGCACATTATTTGGACAGGGGGATTCTTTTTAAAAAATGTTTACTCTCCCTGGACTCCCATCAAACCTGCCTGACTTCTGAGGCTGGCCTGTCACTTTTGAACTTCCGGTTGGACCATGTATTGTCTCCCAGTCTCTCCCGCCTGGGGTTCATCAGACTGTGGGTTCACCTCATTCATTCTAGGGTCTAGCCCAGCTCAAGAGACTAAAATCTTAGTCCAAACCAGACTCCATTACCCAGACAGAGAATTTTGTGGACCAAGGATATAGCTAGGTGGGCAAATAAATGGTTTGGCGTCAGTATGGAATACCCTTAATGCAATGTAAGTGATATGCAGTTGATCCAGGAAAAAGTACTTAGCATCTGTTCTTCTCATCTTTCTAATGAAATGGATGAAAAAAATTGAACACCATGCTTATTAACAGCTATAACTCTCACAAGGAATGATTGCAATACTCATTAAGACAGCAATAGAATTCAAAATGAGTTTGTCTAACTTTGAACAATGGTGCTATTCAGAATGAAAGGAAAAAAAAAAATTCCACATAGAAAGTTCAAGTAATATCACATAGTCTTAAGAACAAAAAGCCAGTTCAAAGGGCAAAAGCAAAATCAAACGGCAGTGAGAGACCAAGCAGAGAGAAATGATAAAGCAAAGAACAGAAGAATTCCAAGCGTTAGCACTGACCACATGTTGCAAATACATCAGCCAAAATTAGATATTATTTCCAAATTAATCACCACATCATCTTCATAAAAATTCCTCCCCAGAACAAAACCTTGCACAAGGATGTTAAAGTTTGCAATTTATTTAACACGGGGCCTGAAATACATGTGTCATAGTAGTTGCAAAAGTCAAACAAATGGAAAGCATATATAAGTCAAGAATAATCAAAGGATAAACTATAATCCAAGAATAATCCATAATCTCCAAAGTGAGAATTATGGACGAGGATTTGAGTGATGGTTTATGCTGGGACAGGAAATGGGAAAATAGTTTAGTTGGACATCAGTATAAAAATATATAAAAATGATCACAGAGTCTTAGCAAAGCTATGAGACTGGATCCATCACATGTGCATTGGTAGAAAGGGGTTCTCTGCCTTAGAATGTGCATGGGGAAAAGAGTTTACATGATTTGTAATCTTACAGAGATCCAACTCCAATTTTGAAAATTAAAAAAAAAAACAACAAACATTTCTGTTGAGGAATAATATTAATAATCATGTGGTCTAATATTAAAAACATAACTAAAAATAAACTAACAGTGATAATAAATAAGTTCAGTCTGTCCCTGTCTCATTTATTCCCTCCCGGTAGTTAATTGCCTCTTCGAATCCATTATAGATATTTTCACCTTAGATTTCCTTAGCTCCTGTGTTATCTCTGCTCACTGCTTTAAGATCACTGTGATTATTATTTGTCATGTCTTTCTTGCCCCACTAATGTGTAAAATTTAGATAATTTGCTTTTCTAAAGTGATTAGACTATTAAGGGAATTAGATTAGGTCCCCAAATATATGAGGAAGCAACATAAAACACTGTCACGATGTATAGAAAAGAGACAAATGAAAGGAATTCGGTTGTATTCTACAACCATCTCTGTTGTATTCTACAACCATCTTGGTTATATTCTACAACCAAACAGCTTTGGGATAAACAAAAACAACTATCAGTTTTTGACGTGCTGGCTTAGTTTACGAAACAATTATTAATTTGTGGAGGATCACATCAAGTGCTGAGCAAAAGACACAAGATACTAAGATAGGGGCTAAACCCTCAGAGGATTAATAGTCTTGTCAGGAACATGAGACTAGAATGGAGCCCAATTGTACCAACAACACCAAGGGGAATCAGAGAAGGGAAAGGTCATTTCCAGACGAGAGAGAGATCAAGAAGCCTTCAAGGTGAGGGTGGAGATGGAATTTTGAGGCAACCTTTCTAGAAATGTTAATAACAGAAGCAAGTCTGTTCAAGGCACAGTAGCAATACCATTAGGTTGGCGCAAACGGTTAGGAACCTCCAAGGAATCTGAAGACTGTGTAGACCACAGTTGGAAAATCATGATATAGGATCTGACTGCTCACGGTCTTCCTTAGCTGTCTCAGAAACCTGTAATTTTTCTTACTGATAAGGGGAGAAACAGAAAGTTATTTGAGTGTGGAAATTGGCTGATGGAGGTGGTATTTAAAAATGATGTTACTGGGAGCACAGCACGAGGAGCAAAGAAATTGGGAAAGGAAGTGAAATGGATACAAAGCAATGAGATGATAAACTGTTGTCCAGTTCAGAACACTGGAGGAGGCAAACCACTTTGGGACAAAAAAAATAAATATTATTTTTCATGATGAAAAAAATAGCAGCTTTTAGGAATGGTGGATTATTTACCATCATGCATACCCAAGGGTTATGCTTTTTGTTTTTAACCTTCTGTTGCAAATAGTTATCATCCTTAACTAAGAATCTAATAACAAATCCTCTTTGGAATGTTATTCCGAAGTCTCTTTGGAATATCTGCAGATGATCAAAAGAACTTGAAATGCTTTCTTGTTGCTTTTAAAATGTGAGTGGGGAAAAAAAAAATTGCTTTTCAAAATACCAGCTGTAGGATGAATTTCCGGAAAATGTAGCTTTAAATGTTTCCCTTCCTTTCCTTTTAGCCCAAATAATCTGTGTATATTTTCAACACCATTTTTTCTGATATCTTTTCACATTAACCATAAGGTAATGAATGGCAGGGTAAAGAAGGAAGGGGAGGGAAGAAACTCTGTCTATTTGAAAAGAGTTCATTATTTTTGCTCTGTTTTTGCAGAGTGTCATTTTAAATAAGTGCTAGCCTGGAGAAGGTTTTTATTGTTTTGAACCACAGGCTTTATATTACCTTAAAAAAAAAAAAAAACTCTCAGCCGCAAGTTTTTGGCAGAAGTACAAATGTAGCACCACCCAGGGAGGGAGCGTGTTTGCTTCTTTGCTCATTTCTGGGAGGGTTGAGGAATGCTGGACATCCAAAGATAAAGGAGGCTGCAACACACTGCTCCCCAGCCCCACACCTTGGGTCTCCTTTTGCAAGACACAGGTGAGTACATTGCGTGCTTGCTTCCAACAGAGCGTCCTAGCTCACTGCAGGGCCACTGCTAAGAATCCAGTGTGTTCGGCTCTGCAGATGCCGAATTGGCCCCTCCACAGCTTGGCCTGGCTTAGGTCATCAGGTTCTTACCCCACCCAATAAATTCCTGAAAAGGTCCTTTTGTGTTTTATTCTCATTTTTATCTTTGCATGTCACTTTGTAGCATGCTTTTCTCTAGCTTATATAAAAAATAAATAAACCCACTAAAACAGCAACCGAATGTTTGTTTGTTTGTTACAAATGCCTGCTTAGTTATCAATCTATTATTCTTTCACATTCAGAAATTATAAGATCTTACAGCCATCTGTGTTGCTGAACAATGAAATGTCATGTAAAGTTTTCGATTCAATGTTTTAAAATAACGCAAATAGATAAAATATAAGACTTGACATTGGACAGTGAACTGGAAGACTATAGAAATAAAATTTTCCCATAATATGGCAGTAGTCTCTAAATATAAAACGCAATGTTATAAATTTGGGTTCTTAATGAATTTTTTATATCACAAATTCTGTTTCCACTTAGATGTCAGAAACTGAGCTGGAAAAGATAAAAGTAAGAACAGCTGAGCATTTTGAAAATGATAAAAATAACATTTCTTGGTTGAAGGAAGGTAAGTCTTCTTTGCTCTTGATTTTCTATTGGTGTGAAAAGTTTTATAAGCAAGGAATAGCATAGGAGAATGAGAAAAGGTACCCTGGCAGTTCAAATGATATCAGTATTTCTGATTTTCATCATTATTATTATTTTTAACCCACACGTGGCCTAAGTGGTCATTTGAGGATCTTTAATATTGAAATGCTTCTTAGAGCCCCTGTGATGCAGGAAACATAGATTATTTTGTTGCTAAAACTTAATATGCATTTTCAGTTCAGAAACATAGTATCTGGGAGGTTCTTGTAGTGCTTTTTTCCTTTATAGGAAAAAAAATTATTAGCCAGAAAAATATTAACCAAGAAGACTAATTTGAGGGCAAGTATTTTTAAATAATAATCACAGAAAGGAATGCACGCTGTGGGAAAGGATGTCTACAAATAGAAGCGCCATTCACTGCAATTAGAGACGCCACCTTCCCAGGGGAGAATGCTGTCGGCCACGGTGCCCCATGCGTAAGACGGTTGCTTCAAATACACACACGAATCGATATGTTCTCCTATGATGAGTACAAATTTGTGCACTTTCGAAAATATCTCTAAACCTGTGATTATTTACTAGAAGGCTTGGTTTTATAATCTTTTGATTTTATGAACACCTTTAATGTCTCTTAAAGGAGACTGATTTGATGTTTTATCTAAATAGGTGTGCTGTGTCTTTTTTTCCTCGTTTTATAAATCTATTAAATTGTAAAGGGACAGCTCTTAAGCAACTGACATTTTTTTTAAAATTGTTTTATGAGGTCATAGGAGGCCCTAATAAACATGTCAAGCAAGTTATACAACACCAAATAATAATAATAATAATATTAACAACATCCACAATGCTTATTGACGTTTATTGATGATTATGCTGAATCATCGTGACAACCCTATGAAGCAGTGGCTATCCCCAATTTACCAATAAGAAAACAGAACCTTAAAGAGTTCAAGTGACTTGCCTAAAATTGCAAAATTAGGAAGTGCCAGAGCTGAGATTCCATGCCAGGCTGTGTGATTCTACAGCATGTGAGTTGAAATACCACCTCATTGTGTTCCAAAGGAAAAGATGTTTAAGTTACTTGTCAGGATGTGATCTGTACTCAAAAAAAAAGCTTTTCCTACAGAGTTTCAATCAACACCTCCAACTTCATGGTACCCTCACATCCACTCTTGTCCCAACTCCCCACCCTCATTTTTAAAATGTTTACTTTTTTAAAAAAGATCATTCCTTCTGCCCAACTGCCCACAACCACATTTAATAGTGGGGGGTAAAAGTTAATACAGACATAAAGTGTTCTCAGAATCATTTCCTTTAAAAAGCCACAGGGCTAGAAAACTCTCTAACCTCCTTTTTATTAAAAGGTCTTTTAAATAGAATTCTTTAAATACAAGGTAGAAGAAAAAAAATTTTAACTTGCTTCAAAGATCCCCCTGTGTTTTTCTTATGAATCCCAAATCCATGAAGGCAGAGATGTTCTTCATTACTAATCACAGTGAAGTTTATATTATTTATTTTTACTTTAATTGCTGCATACTATAGATGTCATATAGAAATAATGATGAAATTGATAGACCAATCAATTGTTTCCTGATGAATTTTCTTTGGAAAAAAAAAATTGTGTCCATTAAGTACAACTTGGGCATTGAATTCTTGTAATCTATAAAATCTAATTTCCCAGGTGACCTGTTTCATCTCATTTGGACACTTCATTTAAGCTACACTCAAATTATGTTTACTATATTTCATAAAAGGAAATTGAGCCAGATGCTAGATGACAACATCTTAATTGGGAATTATCAGGATGAGTTAGTTTTCAAACATAATGTCTTTTTTTTTTTTTTAATGTTAAGAAAAAGTATATGGGTTGGTTTATTAAAACAATAAAGAAAAGAAAGACAAACTGGTGCAGTAAAAAGAGGGTGGCATTGAAGTCAGGCAGGCATAGTTTTTAAATCGCAGCTCAGCTACCTACTAGCTGTGTGACTACAACATGCCACTTCCCTTCCCTGAGCCTCAGTTTCATTAGCTGGGGGCGAGAATACCTGCTTTCTGAAATTATGGGCATGAGCTTTTACCAGTTCTCTGCTTCTTTTCCTCTTAAAAGCATGCTTCAGAATAATCACGTTTTTTGAGAGCTTGGTTCACACCTTGAGCAATCTGGAGTAGCAATAGCGCTGTATATTTTTATAGCATTTTCTATGCATTCCTTCATTTGGCATCTATAACAGCCTGGTGTGCAGCAGTATTGGCCCCATTTTGCAGATTAAGTGACTGAGGCTTAGAGAGACTTTGAATCTTGCTCAAACTTGCAGACCCGGTAATCTGCAAATTGAATCTCAAACCCAGGTGTTCCAGTTCCAAATCCTGTTCTTTTTATTAAATCACTTTATCACTGTGGCCTTCTCAACAGTTATCAATCAGAATTTTCATTTCATCAACCTCTCCTTCCCCCCAATCCTCGCTTAAAAAAAATAATAGATGATTTAAGTTGTTCCAAAGGTTTTTTTTGTTTGTTTGTTTTCCCATGAATGACAAAAGTGGTTGCATCTCACATCACAGTGCCTTTGTTGCCTTCCCATGGAAGGCCAGCTGAATACTCCTCATTGCTAAAATATGGGTAGTCGTGGCAATGCCTTATTACGGTTGGGGCACTTCGCCGGAGTGACCTAGTCAAAACACTGAGGCAGCGCCTGGCCTTGGCGTGACCATGCAACCAACAGGCGTTCCCATCATCATCGCCGTTCTAAGTATTGCTGTTCTTTCTAGCTTCTCAGCCTCAAACATTCATGCCATTTATCCAACTCAATGTGGATTAATCATGGCATGACTAAAGACAAGGTATGAGCATTCCAGAGAGCAATATTGAAAATAAAGGAAACATACTCATGCTCGAGGAACTCATTCTTCTATCATCTCATTCAATTGTCTTGCTTTTGCCAGAAGGGCATGGAGGCCATTCTGCCTTTACTCAGTTAGCTTAGGGGCCTGTCAAAGAGATGGTAAAATCCACAACCAGAGCCACCATCAATAATTAGGGCACACAGTGTTTGAGAAACACCACTGGCAGACCCGAAAATGCATCTATTTTAAAATGAATTGAATCTTGTTTCACCGTCTCTCCAATCGTTAGGCCTCTACCAATACCACTCACGTTGCCTCTGGATTCTAGACTTCTCAAATTTTAGACTCCCCAGATTCCCGGGTCCCTACTTAAGGAATTCAGGATGCTACAGGAGAAGCCGAGGAATAAAAGCTTAAAAATAAGATAGGTGATTCTGAAGAAAAATATCTGGGGACCACACTCGGAGAAACCCTGTCTTAAGAGAATCCGAGGAACAAGGTGTGATTTTGAGATAAGTTGCCAGGCAAGAAGGGCTGCTCTATGCAGTCATGGACCAGCGTGGTCTGGGAACCCCGGTTTTGATAGTCTGCTTGCATGGATGAAGAGAAAGAGATAACGCTAGAAGCAAAGGCATTACAGGTGGGAAGATGCCTATTTTGGTGCTAGGGCACAATGGGCACATTGTCTAGCTATTTGTGGGTGGATTAACACAAAACAAGGGGAGAGAAAAGATTGTGTACTGACTGTATGTTATGCAGTTGGACACTGGTTCTGTTTTGTCGCTGAAGGTCTGAGGGCAGAAACTGCTATATTGAAGCAAGGTTTGGGTCTATAAATCTACAAATCTGTGACGGGCAGGCAGAGGCCAGGTTAAGGGAGGAGGGAGGTGACAACTAAGACAGCAATACAGAGAAAAACATGACCTGAATAAAAGTCATATCAAAGAGAGGAAGAAAATAGGCCCAAATGTGAAAAACTTTATGGAGGAAAAATTGATATAACATAGAAATTGGGGGAACAAAATTACAGGTGGAATAGGATGGCGTGTAATACCCCATTAAACCAAGGAGCATTCTGGGTAACCATTTCAGTGCTTGGAGCTTACACCATTTGATTCGGAAGAGAAACAGCAAGATGAAGGGATGGAAGCCCTTAAACTGTTGTCATTTGCAGTTTAAAATCACAGCATCACCAGCGTTTGAAATGCACACAATTTCTTATAACGTCTCCTGATTTTTCAGGGAATTTGAATTTCTTTGTGAAATCTTCTGATTGTCAAAGCTTAGGTAATAATAATAATCACAACGACAAAACAAGAAAATATCATTCAGGACACATGAAACCAGGTCCAGGGGTCTGTTTCAGCACAGAGACTGCCAGTTTGTAACTTCTGTTCTAGGAATGGACATTTCTAAACAAAATGTAACACAATTTCCTGAAAACTGGTTTTTCACAAACATTGCTGCATCTATCTAGCTACCGTGTTTCCCCGAAAATAAGACAGGGTCTTATGTTTATTGCTCCTAAAGAAGACACCCTAGGGCTTATTTTCAGGGGGGTGTGTTATTTTCCCCTCCAAGTCTCAGCTTGCAGCACGCACAGGATGGCCGGGACCTCACAGGGGGAGCCGTACTTGTTGGTGGGGCAGCCCGCACCTTTCCGGTCACCTCTGGGACAGTAGCTGTCACGATGGGGCAGATGAGAAGGGCTACTCGTCTTCTTTACCACTCTGCAATGAAATGCATGGGTTGTGCAGATGCGCTGCGTAGCCACGCCCGTCACTAGGGCTTATTTTCAGGGTTGGGCTTTTATTGTGCAAATGCTTAGAAATCCTGCTAGGGCTTATTTTATGGGTAGGTCTTATTTGGGGGCAAACACGGTATAGCTCTCTCTGTACACACATATACATATTTAAATGTATGAGCAAAGTCAAGACACCCATCATTTGCCCTAAAAATGTGAAATTAAGAATACTGAAATAAAATTTTTGTCCTTCAGAAAACTAGCTACCCATAATTGTTTTAGTGGACCATTCTCTGCACAGTTGGAACAAGTAGGAGCAAAGCAAAATCATCCCAAGTTACAAGTGTACCCTCAATGCACCAAAGCAGTAGTTTTACAATCTTCTAACCAGG